CACTCTTTCAAATTAAAATAGACTGTTTCAAAAGTGATTATGTAGAGGAATAAGAGCAGAACTAATAGATCGCACAATTGCACTGCCTTTTTTTTTGTATGAAAACAGGACTAAAGTTAGTATTTAAATTAATCATGTATTAAGACCCAGTCTTTCTGCTGTTTTTGACAAGGATACATATTTCTGAGCTACAGATGCAACTGCATTACGCAGTACATTATTCAAGAAGTAGAAGTCAAACAATAAACACAGATGTAAAAAAAAAACAAACCTGAAACAAACCAATCTGCAGAGACAGTCTATTTTACTTGAAACTGCACATCTTGTAACTATATAAATAGTAGTAAAATTCATATTTTTAATATTTATTCAGATGCTGTGAGCATATTCATAAACTGAAGAAACAAATCTGTCAGCAATACCATAAATTCATACTGCAGATGTACTCTATTTAGTTTGTAATGTAATCAATCTTCCAGCAGATTTTTAGAGTGAATGCTACTCACCTCTTATGTCCCAGTCCATGTGTGTGATATAGCTGGAGGCTCCCTTGCATATTCCTACTCGTTTACTGCTCATTACATTGTAAATATCTACAAAGTTATCACACGATGCCACAGCCAAGTACTTTCCAGCCCCTAAAACACATCAGTACAAACACAAGACATTTTGAAAAACTGTAGTGCTCTGTATATTAAATACAAGTACATTCTGGAATTGAGCTATATACAACTCAGATTTCTTTGAAATGAGCTTGCTAATTTATACATAGTCCTTGACAGACTAATGTTCATATCACATAATCAAAATCAGTATGAAATATAAAACTGTTACATCATTACATCTTCAAACAGTAAAAAATATTTGATGAAATTTTAAACATTTGTTGTTCTCAGAGAGTGGTAAGGCTTAGGTACCAGAAAATAATATTGCATGAGAAATGGTATCAGTAATTTGCATCAAATTTCTCCTACAGAAGACTATTTTCACTAAAGCAGTATTATTAGTTTGTTTAGGCCATACATCTGAGCTCCTAAATAAGAGCAGTACTGTTTGAAAAAAACCTAGCCTCACTGGGAGTGCTAAGCACTGTAGAGGGGGGAAAAAGGAAAAAGACACCACCAGAACTTCCTGACACAACTGTTTCAAGCATTCTAATTAGATAACAGTAGCCTCAGTGAAGAGCCAAATTCATGCAGCTCAAAGTGGAACCCTAGGGACCTAGGGAGACTGCTGGATATTCATGTTTTAAAATTGACTGTTGCGTTCAGGAGGGTAGTATGAGCAAACTTATTCCAATAATCTCATCCTTAAATGAGGAACATAGTCCTTGATACCCAGTATTTTTCGAAATGTTAATATTACTCTTGCTGACTTGTTTGTTACATGTAAAAAAGGACTACAAATCTCTACTTTTTAATTTATTTTTTTTTAAGGTTAAAGCATGCTTAAGCTAGCTTGATATAAAAATCTTTGTCTAAATCACTTACCAGGAGAAAAACGGATCTCTGAAATTACATCTTTCCTGTGCTGGAAAGAGACTAGATCCTCCAGGGTATCTGCATTAACTATCAAAAAACTTCCATCATTGAGACCAACGGCTAATGCTTTTCCATCAGGAGAAAAGCAGCAACATCTACCTCCTATGAGGAATACAGAAATGGCATTCAGGTACACTTACAGTGCATAATTTCTCTTTTAGAATTATTTTTCCAATAGCAAAGGAAAGCTATTCTTATAGTATATAGTCTCATAAAACTTTTTAGAAGCTGTCAAGATAATTTCCAAGCTCTAAATCTGTGATAGCACACAGAAGCTACTGGCAAATCAATAAACAACCCCAGATTCTTAGATTACATTTTACTGTCATATTGACATGGGTTCTACCTTAGTAATCCAGATTAATCACCACTGCCTATGTATTTTTAATTTGCTCTCCTTATTAGTATCTGGTGCCAGTTGTTTATTATCATTTGCTCTGGTAAAGTGAAGGCAACTGGAAAGGACCTTGTGGACTCACAGAATCCAGTGGTTTGCCAACATGATCACTATGTCATATAGTCCTTTTAATAAACACATCAAGTTACATTTGAAAAACAGTTTAATTTCCAATCTAAATTTATTTATGGTCAGCTTACATATATTTGTTTCCATGCCAGAATTTTCCATTAGCCTGTCCTACAATTTGTTCCTCTGATTAACTTGTAGACAGTAATCCTTTATTTAGCTGACTCCACCACACAGCTTCTCATTCACTATCCTGTAGCTCCTCTTTCTCTACACTCAACTTCCAGTTTAATTTCATTCAGTTGAACACAGATAAGAACTGTCCACCAAAAAATACTCTGATTAGTCTCTTGTAAATTACTTGAATACTTCATTATGTGCTGGGAAAAATACCTCATTATCACACATAATTGTCATCCTGCGATCAGCTAGATCATCCTGAGCTTTCTGCTCCTCAGTTACTCCTCACCTACACAGACATTTTTCTTACACTCAGCAAGTCTTGCCTTTTTTCATTACCAAATATTATCCCATTTCCACCACTGCAGTCTGCAGAAGTATCCAGCTCTTTCTGTACAGTAGGCAGCTGCTTTCTAAGATTGTCAAAGCATATCAGAATGTGTCTCATCAGCAAATTAAGTCATTGCAGTCCTTATTTTTCTGCCAAAACTACTTCTAAAAATATTAAGAAATACCAGCTTTAAGACTTGAGCAGACTTCCAACTTGAAACTTTGTTTAATCCCTGCTTGTACCAGCTCACAACTCTTCTTACATTCATTTTAATCAATCTAAATCATCTTCAGCTAAACTTCCCATAATGCCTGGATCAAAATGCTTTTCTGAACACCAAACAGATAATGCCTATTGTATAACTTTGTCTAACAAAGCACAGTTATCATTAAAAGCTTGTTAAGGCCAGTCCGATCTAATCCTAAAACAGATGTCACTTAAAACAGATTTACCATCTGTCAAAGTAAAATTTAGTTATGTAGTTGTCCTGGGTTCAGCTACAGCAGTCATTTTTTTTTCTCCTTCTTAGTAGCTGGTGCAGTGCTGTGGTTTTGACTTCAGCCTCGGAACAACACTGGTAACACCGATGTTTTTAGTTGTTGCTAAGTAATGTTTACTCTGACCAAGGACTTTCTCAGTCTCATGCTCTGCCAGGGAGGAGGGGAAGCCAGGAGGAAGCAGAGACAGGACACCTGACCCAAACTGGCCAAAGGGCTATTCCACACCACAGCACATCATGCCCAGTATAGAAACTGGGGGGAGTTACCCAGAAGGCCCAGATCGCTGCTCGGGTTGGGCTGGGTATCGGTCAGCGGGTGGTGAGCAATTGTATCCTCTCCCCTTGTTATTCCTCTTATCATTATTATTGGTAGCAGTAGTGGTTTGTATTATACCTTAGTTACTGGACTGTTCTTATCTCAACCCATGGGAGTTACATTCCTCCGATTCTCCTCCTCATCCCTCCGGGAGCAGGGGGAGAAAGAAGGGGAGGAGTGAGTGAGTGGCTGCGTGGTTCCGAGTTGCCAACAAGTCTTAAACCACAACAGTAGTATACAAGTAAGAATTTTATGACTTTTCTCTTTCCTTGACATTCCAGGTTCTTCTAACATTCACAAAGAAGAGAAATTCAATGTTATTTTTAAGATTTCTTCTCAAACTTTCTAGATTTGAAGTCCTCCACTGTCCAAAGAAAGGTTGCATTACTACAAACAACATGATAGCTTTATGTAACTGGCCCAACTTTCATTGTAGATTCACCGACTTAAAACAACAGAACTGCAAATAATCTTAACAGTATTAGAAATCATTCTTAAAGATTAATTAGCTTAAGGGCTACAAAACACTTGAATACAGCATCAATAAAATAATTTGAGCAAAGAAAGAAATTTATTTAATCTTGCTTTTGAAAGATTCATAACACTAGTGAACGTCAACTGAATTCAGTTAAATTTTTCATACTAAGCATCTTACCCTTTTTCAATTTGCGAACTGCTAACATACAATGGCTAGGAGATAAATCCCATATTCTTAAAGTTTTGTCATCACTTACAGTGGCACAAATAGGTAAATGAGGATGAGTAGCTAGACCCCAAACTTCCCCCTCCATGTGACCCTGAAAAAACATAATGAATCAGATGATTTGGTATTTTAAACTGAAATATGAAATAAGAAATTTCAGGAAGTTAAAAAGCCCACCAGCACCAACAAAGAGAGAACATGCAGAATATACATATCTTTAGAGGATAATAAAGGAGTATCTGAATAGAAACATAGAACACCTGAAAAAAAAAAAACTTACCCTACTTAAAGTGCAAATTATAGTAATTAGTACTACAGAAAACTTTTACTGAGAAATAATGCTCACACACATCTCTGCCCGTGACATAATGGTATCAAGTGCACCCTCAACAAGTTTGCTGACTACACCAAGCTGTGTGGTGAGGCTGACATGCCTGAATGATGCAATGCCATTCAGAGGGACCAGGACAAGCTCAAGAAGTGGGCCCATACGAACTGCATGAGGTTCAACAAGGCCAAGTGCAGGGTCCTGCACCTGGGTCAGGAAATCCCCCAGCATCAATAGAGGCTGGGGGATGAAGGGATTGAAAGCAACCCTGCGTAGGAGGACTGGGGGGTACTGGTGGATGAAAAGCTGGACATGAGCCAGCAGTGTGCATTCGCAGCCCAGAAAGCCAAATGTATCCTGGGCTGCATTAAAAGGAACATGGCCAAAAGGTAATGGATATGATTCTGCCCCTCTACTCTGCTTTCATGAGACCCCACCTGGGGTACTGTGTTTAGCTCTGGAGTCCTCAGTACAGGAAAGATATGGACCTGTTGGAGAGAGTCCAGAGGAGGGCCACAGAAATGATCAGAGGGCTGGAGTACCTCTTCTGTGAAGAAAGGCTGAAAGAGTTAGGGTTGTTCAGCCTGGAGAGGAGAAGGCTCCAAGGAGACTTTATTGCAGCCTTTCAGTACATAAACAGGTCTATAAATAAAGATGAGACTGACTTCTAATAGCGCCTGTTGTGACAGGACAAGGGCTAATGCTTTTAAATTAAACAGGATAGATTCAGACTAGATATAAAGCAGAAATTTTATACTATGAGGGTGGTGAAACACTGACACAGGTTGCCCAGAGAAGTGGTGGATGCCCCATCCCTGGGAACATTCATGGTCAGGTCAGACAGAGCTCTGAGTGACCTGATCTAGTTGAAGATATCCACTGCTCAGTGCAGGAAGGTTGGACAAGATGACCTTTAAATGTCCCTTCCCAACCAAACTATTCTATAATTCTATAT